ATAGGTATGTACTTATTGCCACACTATTGTTTTCTGTTTGTTTTATAGCTCCTTTCTTTCTTTCTCAGGGATAGCTTTCTGACTATCTAAGTCTCTATTAAGTTGCTGATTGCTCTATTTCAAACACAATCTAAAAGTAGTTTTTTTCTTCTTCACACTTTATTTATTAGATGTCATAATCAAAACTAGCCTTAGGAACATTTCCATCTACAGCAGTCCCTTTAACATATCCTGTAATGCTGGTTTAGTTGTTATAAATTCTTTTAGCCTCATTTATCTGGAAAATTTTTAATCCCTGCTCCAAATTTAAATGATAATCTTGCTGGGTAGATGATTCTTGGTTGAAGGTCCTTCTGTTTCAGTACATTTTCTATTTCATGAGACTCCCTTCTGGCCTAAAAGCTTCTGCTTGAGAAGTCTGCTGATAGCCTGATGGGGTTTCTTTTAGTCTTTTTCCTCTCTCAGGCTGCTTTTAATACTCTTTCCTTATCCTTAATCTTTGCCATTTTAATTATATGTCTTGTTTGTCTTACTGGGGTGCCTTTTTTTAGGGACTCTCTGAACTTCAATGACCTGAGTGTCTATTTCCTTCCCCAGATTGAAGTTTTCAATGACTATTTTCTGAAAGAGACTTTCTATCCCTTTGTCTCTTCTTCTGGTACCCTTATTATGCAAATATTGATTCACTTGGATTGGTTACACAGCTGTCTTATCATTGTATTCCTTTCCCTAATGTCCATTTCATTGTCTCTACTTTCAGCAATTTCTTATTCATTCCCTTCATTTTGTTTCATTTGTTACAGTATTATTCAGGTCTTGTATCTGTCAAAGTCCTCTGAGATCTTTAATACATTTCTGCAGGTCAGTTAGCATATTTGAGTTTTACTTTGAAATCTTTAGAAGATTGATGATCTCCTGTCTCATTTAGTCCTCTTTCTGGTCTTATCTTATAGTTTTATTACAATCATATTCCTCTGCCTCCTCATTTTGTCATGGTTTCTGTTTTTCCTCCTTTGTATTAGATGGATCTCCTATGGTTCCTGATCTAGAGTAATGGCTTTATAAAGGCATCTCATGGTGCCCAGAAGCTCAGGACTCTTTCCTCTCCAGTACCTGCTTCTCCTTTGCTGTGGGCCCCCAGTTACTGTTGGTGGGCAATGGGTGGGGTCACCTTTCTTTTGCTCTGCTGGCAGTTGTTCATCTCAAGTCTGCTGGGGCCAGCAGTTTGCCTTAGCTGGGCCTATGTGGTCAGAGCGTAGTTTCTGCTGGGATCATTGTGAATGGCAGTGATGGCAGGGCTTCTGGGTCAACAGGGATGGGCAAGTCAGTTGCAGGGCGAGTTGCACAATGGCAGGGTTCATGGGCTCACAGCAGTAGCAAGTCATCCAGTTGCAGAGCCCTTGGGTGCTCAGTGGTGGCAGCGAGCCACACGATTTGCAGTGGTAAATCATAATCATAGACTAGCAGGGCACGCAGGTGTGCTGAAAGGTGAGTCATGTGGTGGAAGGGCCCACAGGCTTACAGTGGTGGCACAGGCCCGGTGTGGGGTCCTGTGGGCTCACAGTGATAGCAAGTCAGGTTGTGGGAGGCTGTGCTGGTGGTGGCAGAGGCAGCTAGTCCTGCTGCAGCTGTGAGTTCCACAGGTGCCCCCCAGCAGCAGCAAGGCACTCAGCACCCAGCTTAGCCACCTGTGGGGAGGAAGGAGCTCTCAGAGCTGGCTCCTGCAGGCACCCTTCCTCCTTTCCACTGGGGTGTAACAGGGCTGAGAAAGCTGAAAGAAGACCCTGTGCACCAGGCAGCAAGTCAGTTGCTACTAGGCCAAGTAGGCTGGCACATGGACAGCACACAGGGAGGCACCTCAGGGCTGAGCCTCCAGTGAGGGGATGGGGCACCTGGGGCTCTGGAGAGTGTTCAAACCGCTGGGCCAAGGGAGGGCTGGGCAAGTATCATCCACCTGCTCTTTCTCTTGCAGAGACAGCCCTGCCAAACCCTCACCCCTCTGACTCCCCTCCCACTGCTAAGTCTTTCAAACTGCTGCCTCTGTGTTGGGTCTTGGCAAGACCAGTAGAGCATGCCTGTTTTCCACAGTCCACTGGGGTCTAAGCCTCCCAGAGAGTTCCAACTGTCCCTGGTGTCCAGTGCCACTGCAGAACCCAATGCAATGTGGACTCAGTTCCCAGAGCAGATCTCCAGGGCCAGGTGTACAGAGTTCCTGGGTACCTATCCCCTACCAGATCCTTTCCTTTTCCTTCTGCCTGTGAGCTGGGATGGAGGCAGGGATAGGGTCCTGCTTGGTCATGGCTCTGCCACTTTGCTCTTTTCTGTGTGGTCTTCTCGTTCCCCAGGTGTAGGTGGTTTGTTCTACAGCCTTCAATGCATTTTCAGGATTAGGTGCATTTGCTGTCATTACTTCCTTTGTGTGTGGGGGGCTGGGGTGGGGTGGGGATTTCTGTCTTCCCTTTCTATTCCACCATCTTGAGACTTCTCCTAAAGGACTATTTTTTTCCATCTCATAGTAAGTCTGAAAGGTGTTTCATGTCACAAAACCTTAATTTTACCTTTTAAATGTAAAGTAGAAATAGAACTATTATGTAAGACATTTCATCTTACAGTTAACAACTACAATGCTTTATTATATAGGTATCAAAGGATAAGATTAATATTATTAGAAGCTAACCATTATATAGTTATTTTACATAATATGATTTACATAACCTGATATATCCAAACCTCTGTAAAACCTACATTGCAGTGGAGTTTACATACATTCATAGCTTTAAAGTAGGTATTACAGTAATAATTTTGGCTCTTTGTGGACTTAAGTAATTATCTTCTCTAGAAAAGGTTGACTCAAGATACATTTCATCTCCCTTTAAAAGCCCTGAAATGTAAAAGCGCACATCACTCCGTGTTTTATTTAGAATGATCTATTCTGAGTACTTTAAAGTGCTTATCCTAAAACTGATTTGTATTAGAAATCGGCCTGTCAGGACACTGGAATGACCAAATGACAAAATTCTAGGAACTTTCCTTTTTTAGATTTTAAACCTTATTCTTTTTGTGATTATTTTGGTTTGTACAACTAGTTTCAACAAAATTATGCTGCAATGGAAACAAGGCCTCAAAAAGTATAATGTGGAATATTCCCAATTGGCCCACTTATTTAAAATCTGCTTTTACATTTGGTAAGACTGCCTTACTATTGTTTTTTTATATGGTTATCAATCTTTATGCATCAAAATATGTATTTAATTGAAGTCTACAGAAAGTAAACTTTGAAGTCCTCAAAATAAAGTAGGCAGCCAAGAACTTTATTGGTCTACCCTTAATTTTCCAAAACTCAGCATATGGTGCTGGTAATATCCAAGGACATTAGAAAAGGAATATGAAATCTATTTTATTCTGATCTGGTAACTTAACAAATGGTAATCTCTATTATTCACCCATTTTCCTCAAAGTAACCCAATAGTGTCCCCTAAAACAACAACTTTTACCATAGTGGAGTAAGTACTGCCAAGAGGAGATTGGTTCTTGTGTTGTTGGCTATGCATTAAGATGTCATTTTTCATTCTGCTCTGCCCTAGTAACCTCTACTTTGTTTATTCCTTCTCAAGTGATTTAATCATGACTGGGTGTTTGTGTTGTTTCAATATTACACTGTAATTCCTTAAAGTAGGAATCCAATGATTCTTTTAGCCCATGGGGTCCTGCACATAGTTATTCAGTTTTCAGCTACATGGCCTTAAGTGGTTATCTGGTATGGAATTTACATATAACCAGTCAACACATGGCTATGTAAGGATTTTAGATACTTCTCAGCAGCAATAAAATCACACATACACACATACATTTTAGTTCATATGTGTGTGCTTATTGCTTACAACTGTTAATATAAAAGTTATTACAAAATGATTATTTTCACCAAAGTAGACAGTTCATTGCTATATTCATCACTGCATTTACCATTTAGCTTTCCAAAGAATCCTAAAGTCACATCGTTTTTGTTTTTGTTTTTCCAATAATCCTGCTAGGTTCTTACATAGTTATGGCATTTACTTTCCCTGCTGTTTGAGTTTTCTGGTCAGTTAACTCCATGTTGGTGAGACTGGTGATAACACCACGCTTAAAGTTAATGAATGATGATGAAACTTCCAATCTTGAAGGATAGGTACTTAGGGATAGTGAGGAAACCAGTTTCCACATTTTCCATGATAGGGTCATTTATTTTAAAGTTCATCGTTAAAAAAAAAAAAGGATTGCAATTACCACTGGACTCAAAGTTCTATACAGGAATTTTTTTCTCCTTTTCATTTGTAAAAGAAAAATAGTTGATAATTATGAAACTTGAGAAGGATTTTTGTTCACTGAAAAGACTTTACCAGTCTCCATGTGGGGCTTCGTGGTGGATATCATGAAATTTTTAAGGTATATAGAGTATGTCATTTCCTGGTGAAATAGATATTTTAATTTTACATGCTAAAAACACATGGCAGTAAAGGTTAGTTTCCATCCTTTGAACCCCCATTTTATTTCTGTACTTTAAAAAATATCTAAATACTGCACTTAATATTTCTTATTAAAATAACTGGTGGAGCAAAAGGTAGGCAAGAGAAAAGAACTAGATTTTAAAAATTGGTAGAAGTATTACTTTCTTTCCAAATGAATTAGCCAAATTCTTCCTTAAATATTTAGATACTTCATAAAGAATAAAGAGCCTTATATGAACTAAGATTTTCCATAAAAAATCTAAAGGATCAATTAATGTATTTCATTAAGTTCACTGCTTTATACTACTGCACTGTATTTTCAGAAAAGAGAAAGTCTTAAGTTGCACTAATGTAAAGTTGTAGACCTCCCTTTGAAGGAAGCATATTTTGATTAAAAGTTCACCAAGTCCAAATTTTTCTACCATAATAATGTCACATTATGTCCTATGTATAAAAGAAATACGGTATTGCTACAGCTTGCATTAAAATATGAAAAATACCACACAGAAAACAAACATTTTTTAAAAAGATTTAAGATCATAAATAGGTCACAACACATTTCATAATTGAAAAAACAAACATTTTGACTTTTTAGGAAAAAGATTGTTTTAAAAAAATCAATTCCCTCATCATTGAAAGGACTTTTACATTTAAAAATTTCCAGTCTCCTAAGGCACAATATTTATTCAATATCACCACCCTGCTGTAGCAGGAATAAGAGGCAAGGTATTAGAATTAAGAGAAATAGCAAATTTTATGGACAATATCAGTAATTTAAGAAAAAGGAGAAACAGAGTAAGTGATCACTTTTGTTATGTAGGGCTTTCTGTTAAAAACATTTTTTTAGATCAAAGTATTTTTAAACTCTAATAGATTTAATTCAATACAGAGGAGCTATGAGAGAAGATGGGGATTGGTAAAATATAGTATACTTTAAAAAGGACTGGGGAGGGGCAAATGTGTAGAACCCAGATTAGAGGCTAGTTTATTCCTTGTCTTCAGGCAGATCCAGAAAAGACAACAGACTAGGGAACATAATACCTAGGTACATATTCTAAGGCATCTGTTCCTTAATGAGATAGCCCTTCTAGCCTCCCACCTACCAACTGAGATGTAGTGAAATACTAAGAACTTTTTGGCTGGATAAAAAAAATTGACCTGCACTTTGCTTTGTCCTCTGTGATAATGACTTTGAGATTTTAATGTACAGTGTGGTGATTTAGTGTTAATTTTAAAAGGAAAAACTCCACAAAGTTAGTGACTGTCCACAGAAGAAAACATGGGATGAGGTTCATGGCTGAATCAATCATGGAGTGTTACTCAATTGTAAACTCTTGAAAGTTAAGACTGGGAAATGTGTGTGTGAAACACATCAGAGTACAACAAGAGAGGAAGGGAAGCCTGTTTGTCATTCCAATTCTGACAAGGTGCATGGTCTTCGAAATTCTTGTCCACGTTCATGCAGCCATTTATTGGATACTGTGGGAGAGGAAAAAAATTTTTTTTCACTAACTAGTATTTAATTAACGTCTAAGAGCTGGACCTACAACAAAGTTTCTAAGTGGGCTAAAATCTCAAGACCCAAACCAGATGAAGGCAGATACTACTTACTTAAGCAGTCTTTTAAAAACTTCACTAAATATTGGAAACATATTAGATTTTTTACATATGTGTGTACATTTGAGAGCCTGTATATGCATTTCCTGATGTTTAATATAAGTACAGAAATTAAACACAAATGGAATTAAGATGTAGGTACAGATAGCATAGAATATTGTACTTCCTGTGTGCAAAATACAACCTCTAATGCAAAAACATTTTAACAATGAACATAAAGTCACCACTCTAAAGGAGCAACACTATTTCCAGGTGCTCAAGTTTCCATGGTTCCCAGATACTGTTTTTTAATGTCCCTGGTCCCTAATATGCCTGGAAAGCTACTGCTCTATCTGCAGGTAAAAATTAAGCTTTGAAAAAGCCTCCCCAAATGTAAGGCATCACCATCTTCTGTTTACGTCTTTGTATTAGTATGTACTACACTAATCCACCCATTAGTGTGTCTATCAGAGACAACAGTGACTCCCTGTGGGGAAGATACTATCTTATTCAACTTTTGGGTCAGCTAGTGTTTCAAGTGGAAGTAGAGTTAAAACTTCTGATCTGTTGAAAGCAAATTTATATTAAGATCAGAAACGTGCATGGTTGAATCCCATTCAATGTGAAAGTCACCGTGGGAGTTTTCATTTTCTTTTTAAGACACAGGTGTAATAACTTCAAAATGAGATAAAGATCATTTTATCCTAAGCTTATAGGAAATATTTACCCCATTTGTTTCCAACTAGTACTGGACAGGCTGCATGTCGTGTACTATAATCTCCTTCTCCACTGGCAAACAGATTATACCAGAAAACAGCAGTTCCCTGTGAAGAATACAAAATTGTCCCCAAATAAAACATCAGGTTACTTTTTATAGTAATTAAACTTTCCTCTGTTACTGTAGAAGCACTCTTCTATGGCAGCATTATATCTTCCTCTAATATAATTTTAATATGATTATATCACACAATTTTGGTGACCACATGAAAATGTTAATACCATAAAGTTGCTTAACACAAAAAGGACATTACTAAAACAAGTCTAACAAATCTTATAATAGCAAGATGGAGGGGCAAACATCATAGGGTACCCATTTTAGAAACAAAAACATTAATCCATGGCTGGTCATTACTTCTAGGTGCTCACAGTAAGTTGTGCCATTAAAATATCTAAAATTTTACCTAGTGATAATGTAGTCCTTAAGTATACAACTTTAAAATGTAATTTGTTAATTAAATCATGAAATAAAGGTATAGCTCTTCCTCAGGGAAAATAGACCCCAAAAACTAAAACAACAGAGTTTACCTTTTTGGGCCAAACACTAGCTCCTACTTCAGGAAAAACAGTGGCTCCTCCTGCTGACACATCACTCATCTGTAAGGGACGAGAGTATTATTAAAATGCTGCTAGAATAAAGTTAAACATGCCACTGCAAGGAGGATATGGCACTGAATACCAGGTATGAGAATATCTGGCTTTCTATTACATACTGGTTTGTGCATGCTACTCAGTTTTTAAAAAGCAAAATATGCTGTTTAGGTTTACATACTTAAGTAAAAAATATATATTCATATACATAAAGCAAAGGAAGGATAAAGTCAGGGAGATATAAACACTTCTGTTATAGCCAGAGGCAAAAAGAGATGATTTAAAAAATGTTAAGTAATACAGGAGTATAAATATGTATTTTATTGTACTAGAATATATAATCTCCACAGGGGCAGGAATTTTCATCTGTTCCTTGCTGAACTTTAGTGTATAGAATAGTACCTAAAGAATAGGTGCTCAATAAATATTTAAATAAATTAATTTAAAATAGAAATCAATGCCAAGAGAAAAACTAAAATCAGTTTTGTCATTTCTGATAATAAGGAACTGACAGAATAAACACAAACCTTCCAAATTAACTGAAGCAGCACACACAAAATGAGGCAAAGGAATAGATCATATAGTGAAGATTTTTTTCAAAAGCAACATACATAGAATGTATAGACAGAATGTGTAATTGTGTCACAAAGTAAATCCCAACCGTATGCTATTATATCCAAGGAGTCACATCTAAAACCAAGTGACTCACAAACAGAAAACAAAAAGGTAAGATTTGCCAGGCAAATGCAAAAGAAAACAAAAACAGGGTTTGAATTTAGTACCAGACACAGTTTAAATCAAACAGAAGCATTGGATAAAGAAGGGTATTTTATCCTTATATAATTAGTAACAAAGAGCTAACTGCTCTTAAGCAATGACAAAACTAACTTCAGAGAAATTAAAAAGCTGTGCTATATGGCTCATCTGGGAATAGTATTTAAATAGAAAAGAAGAATACTAATCTAATAAAAATGCTACATAATCAATTTAACATATATCTGATATTTATGGATATCTCACCAAATAATATAGCATCAGTATTTATAAAAGCAAAGAAATGGAAGAAACAGTTATAGCCAAAAACAAATGTTTAATGGCTATTGAGCATCTGAAAAGATCATCAATCTCTCTAATAAGAGAAATGCAAATTAAAATCAAGGTAACTGCCAATCTCATATGTGAAAGAGGTACAGATTAAAAAGTTGGACAAACTTCACATGGAAAGGTGATATATAAATTGGTATAATCTGTGGAGAGCTCATCTCTAGTAAGTATACAAGTATACTTCACAGTATGAATTTTGTATAATCTATCAACTTCTCTTGTTTCCCTTGTGTGATAATTCACTCATTTTATTTTACCTTACGCATTCTTAAAACCTTTTTAATCCTAAATCCTTTTTTAACAGCATCTTGAATTTTTTTTTTAAAGTATCCTAGATCCTTTTGGAAATGAGGAGTTGTGAGACGAGGGTTTGGATATAGGGAAGGAGGAAAAGGAATGGAGGCAATAGAGTAAAAGACAACAGAAGCAGGGAGTGAGATAAAACATGGAAAAAAAGATGCCATTTCATCTAATTCAAATAGGGGCAGGGGATAGAAAGAGCAATGAATTAAAAATTAAGTCTATATATGAAATACATATTTTTAAGTTAACAAAGGTTATATATAACATTGTAGGAGATATTTTCCAAATATATGTCCTGGTCTACATACTCTTTTTATATAATACTGACATTCCTCTTGAGTGGTAGCGTCTATGACCCTTTCCCCTTGAACCCTGGCAGAACTTTGTAATTGCCTCAATTAAATATAGAAGTGACACTGTATCTGACTTCTGAGTGTAGGTAATAAAAATGCCATCCACTTCTGCCTTGTTTTCGGGGGATACTTGTTCTCGCAATCCAATTACCATACTGTAAGGAAGCCCTTAGGAGAATATAGATACTGTGGCAAACAGTCTGCTTCAACATCAACCTTCGAGATAACCCCAGTGCCAAACATGATGTAGCTGCAAAGGCATGAGAGATCTAGAGCAAAAGCCACAAGTGAAGAAGCCCAGTCAACCACACAACCATGAGAGACAATAAAACTGTTATTTTAAATCATTCAGTTTTGGGGTAAAATGTTACGCAGCAAGAGATAACAGGCAAATATTGTGACCAAACCTTAATTTTTTCTATATGAACATATAAATAATTAAAAAGTATACTGTTTTGAAACTTTAATGACTATGAAAATGGTTACCTTTGATGGGCTTCCAGGGTGCTGTGGGGGTAAATGGAGGTTTGCACCCAGAATTTACAGAATTTCTCACCTGGCCTTAGTCCATTATGTTTACCACAGCAGAGCCTCCGGTCCATCCGGCGCAAGGGGTGGAGAGAAAATGGCCATTCTCTCCTCCATTCCTGGTATGAAATTGGTCTGGTGTTTGCCAGTCACCAGGGACCCGCCCAGAAGGGGTGGGTGGGGGAGGGAAGCGCACTGCAACCAGAGGGGATGGACAGTGCACAGCCTGGCTAGCAAACCTGAGCAAGCTGTGAGAAACAGACCCATTGTCCTACTTCAGTTTCACTAAATTCGTAAGTAACTTGTTCCAGGTGGGAAACTACAGGTGCTATGATGTTATTTCTTGATCTGAGGCTGATTATACCAGATGTGTTCACTTTGTGAAAATTTATCATTATATACTTATGATTTGTACACTACACAGAAGTGCTTCTATACTTCAAAATAAAAACAACTGTTTTCAAGTAAGGAGTCTACTAGTAAATTTTAAGTTTCTTCTTCAGGTTGTAATATTACAATCAGAAAGTGTTAAAAATAAAAAAACAAAATTTCACATAGTTGTAAAACATTCAAACTAGGATATTATATAAAAGCAAAGCAGAATAAACATGTGAACACATCAAAATAAATGAGTCACATGACAAATTTCAACTTAAAAGTATAAATTTTATCTACTATAACTTACGTAGAATAGCCATGTAGCAATTCTATTTCCTGTCCCCAGCTCTTTGAAAGCATCTGGCTCGTCTTTCTGTAAATAAAGCAGAACTAATTCAGTGGTGTAAGATTCAGTAATGCAAGTTCTGCAGTGGGAGCTACAAACATCTGTGATGTGCTGAAGGTATGCCAAAGACAACCCAATAGGTTCCTTTACAATGTTCAGTGCACTGTATACAGCAGGCAATCAAATACCTGTTGCTGTTGATTTGTACACTGAATACTTTTGATAATACTTTTTAAGTATTATGATAAGACCACTGGGGGGAAAAAAAAGTCCAGATTTGTTAGCCTAAATAATGAGAACCAATATCTATTCAGATTATTTAAAAACTCAAGACCTATAGTTCTAGCTTCTGTAAAAATAAGACATGAGTTTTAGCTACATTCATGAAGTATATTTTCCACGGGTAAAAAATTTATCTTGAAATTTACTTTAAACTCATGATCCATTCAAATGTATACTGCTACTATGATTGTCTTTCTTTTGGACAGTCATCACTTTAATCTGGCTGGAGAATTCACATCTGGCTATTTAAGTTTAAATTAAAATACAGCTTCTTTGCATTCTCTGAGAAAAATTTATACACATTTTTAATAAAGTCCAGTTCCAAACTGGAAACTACTCACATGTCCTTTAAAAGGTGAATAACTAAACAATCTGAGGTATGGATACACCACAGAAACACACTATTGCAAGAACTTGAATGAACCTCAAGGGAATTATGCTGAGTGGAAAGAGACAATCTGAAAAGAATACATAGTGTATATAACATTTGTGAAATAAAAGTTACACAGAGTAACAGTGGCTATCAGCAGTTAGGGATAGGAAGCAGAAGGGGATGTGCAGTAGTAAGACATCACGGCAAGGAAGCCTTGTTTGTGATAGTGCAGTTATGTATACTGGCTGTGGCTCAAGTTTCACAAAGCTACACGTAATGAAGCACAGATGCACAGTGCAAATATGACTGGTGGAGTAGAGTAAGCTCTGTGGCTTACTGTCACTCCCAGTTTCCTGCTTTTGACAGTGTTATTACAGTTATGCAAGATGTTAACACTGCAGGAGGCTGAGGAGGGGTTCACAGGGCCTCCCTGTTCATTTATTTCCAACTTTCTAGAAAACTGTATTATTCAAAATAAAAAACTAAGAAAATTTATTTACACTTATGTCAGGGCTTGAACTGTTGTCTTTCCCATCATCTAAAATCCTCAGACATTTTAAATAATTGAAAGTAGAAGGAAAAGAGACCAAAAACACATTCTTTTCTGTCCTACACAGAAACAGTCTAGGATTCTGGGATGAAGCCTGTCAAGAGCTGTACCAAATACAGATTGTGACTTCTTTCAAAAGAACATACCCTTATTAAAAATGGTAACAGATCAAGAAGTTTATTAAAATATATGGTATGTTCCTTAGAATTCATATAATTACAGTAAAGCTTAAATTAAGATTTGGTAATACCACAATTTATAGCTCATTATCTTAAGTAAAAAAATGTCCAATATTTATTAATCTTAAGGAAAGTACTTGGGCAAGGACAACTTTCTTAGCAAACTGCTTTGATGTTATTTATTCTCCAGTTTCTTTATATCTATTTTACACTTTTTATGTTTCTGTCTCTCAAAGTGCATTATTGTAATTTCTTCAGATCTATTTGCAAATTCACTAATTTACTTTATCTTTCTCTAATCTGTTTCCACTTATCCTTTAATTTGTAATTTCTTCAGATCTATTTGCAAATTCACTAATTTACTTTATCTTTCTCTAATCTGTTTCCACTTATCCTTTAAATTTTAAATTTCAACAATTACTTTTTTTACCTAGAGCTTCTATTACTATTTTTCAAATATGTTGTCATTTTGAGTTTAATTTTTATCCTTTTATTTAAAAACTATAATTTTATATTAATTTTTATCCTTTTACTTTAAATACATAGTTATTTTATATTCTATAATTTGACATTCATGTATCTAGCATTCTGGTGGTGTCTAAATCTTTAAATTTGTTGGTTGTTCCAGTCTCACCAATGGTACCTTACCACCAGTTAATTTTGTTTAAAAATGAGTTCATATTTAGCTGAACTTAATCTTTAAAATTCCTGAGGTACTAGAATGAAGATGCTGCTTCTTTAGGGAGAAACAAAGTTTGCTTCTGCCAGGTACCAAGGAGCACTGCTAAATTGAAAAATTTTAAATCAATTTTTCCTCTTCCAGGGTAGTTAAAATTACAATCTGATTCATGTGCCAGCAGGACAATGCTTACAAAGTCCCAGAAGCAGCTCCCCATATACATCACACTCCAGACACGAACGCAAAATGCACCTCTCCTTCAGCCTCTTAACTCAAGACACATTATTTTCAGGGCTATTCTTTCTCTCTCTGAAAGTGTGAACTTTCACAGATTTAGGTTTATGCAGGGGTCTCAGGTTCAGGAGCCTACACTGTGGCAGGTTCTCTCACACAGCTGTTAATACTCAAAACTCTAAGATTCCTGGAGGTATATGCATCTAGCCTCAGCTTTTTTAACCCCCTTTAATAGTCTCTAGGTTTTTCTTGTTCAACTTGCCTTTGGGAACTTCCTTACTTTCTTCCATGTTCAGCAATCCATTTAGAAGTATCTTATGTTCTTTTACTGTGTATCTAGATGTTTTTTAATTCCTAAAAAAGGCTTTACAGAGTATTTATTCCACCATGTTCCACAAATTCCAAATAGGCCACAAATTTTTAATACTCTAAAAGAACAAAATTTATGTCATGTTTAAGCTTCCAAAGACTCTTACTTTTTTTTTTACTTACCCGTGCAAAATCAAAATGTGGTTCATACTGTCCTCCCACTCCATAATTTGCTACCTGAAGGAGAGAAACACAAAGCATGAATGAAAAAACAATCAAGATTACTGTAATTTAAAAAATCTATAAGCCCCATTTTGAGAAGCAAAGCATTTTAAATCAATGAGAATTCCTAAGGAACCAAGGATGAAAAACTTTCAAGGAAAGCTATTACATGCTATTTTAGAACCTTAGTTAATATGCTTTTCTTTAGCAAATGTTTGGGGAACACAGTTTTCCCTAATACATAAGTTAAACTCATTAGAATGAAAAATTTTAGAATTACGATTTTCTAGAATTAGAATTTTGGGATTTCTACTGTTAATTTTTACTAAACACTTTCCTTTAGATTTAAATCAAAACTCATGTTTTCCAAAGCTAAAATGCTGGCAAACTCCCAATCTCCTTTAATAAAATCCTTTTACCTACATATTTTTTTTCTTACTAGAGGAAAAAAGTGACAAAGTTAACACCAACTTACTTATTCCTGCTGGAGGGGCCTACCAACCTCAGTTGGCTATAACAATGTCCCAGTGTGAAGCAGCAAAGGGAAGTAAAAAAAAAAAACATTTGGTCTGGGTTCAAGTTCCAGCTTTCTTAGTTACAATATGTAACTTTGGATACAGTCTCAGTTTTCTTATTTGTAAAATAAAGAGAATGAAACCTTACGAAACTTCTTCCCAATATGACAAATTGCCAAGAAAATGAAAGGAGAATATAATTTAAAGAGCACTGCTGATTAAATGAAGGGAGAACATAATTTTAAAAGTGTCCACAGCAAAGTCCAAGTCCTATGTAAATTACTATTATTATGGATATTTAATTCTTATGTTGCAGACACCTCGGGTTGGATCAGCCTATTAAGTAGAAATATATCAAGGAGCATGGAAGACTCTGTGAAGGTTTGGCAGATGAGAATAAATACAGATTAGGAAAGAAAAAGGCACATTCAAGAATTTTTAATAATCAGATGAATATCAAGGAAATTATAGATTGCCATGGAATAAATGACAATTAAGCAAATTTAAATACAGGCAGTCCATGGAATAAATGACAATTAAGCAAATTTAAATACAGGCAGTCTTGCTTTCTACAATTCCAAGCTGCCCAAATCTCTAATACCGCAATTTAGCTAACCATTAACACCAGACCCCCAACAATGCAGCTGATAACTCAGTTACCATGGTAACTGAATTGTAATTAAGCAAAGGACAAAAAAGAAGTTATTAAGTATAAAAGCTGCTGCTAGCTGTTAGGTCCACAAATCACTGTGTAAATAGTTGCACTTATCAATGACCATGTCATTTCTCTCAAAATCCGTCAGTGATTGCTCACTGCACACCTGTTATTCAGTTCATGCACAGACAGCAAACCAGGTAACTGTATTGCCTCCTGGTGAAAACCCATGTGATATTTTACAAAAATGGCTAATGGAAAGGGAATTGGCCAACAAAGATAAAGTACAACAGAGAAAGGGAAAGTGAAAATGCTGTAAGTGAATTCAAATCAAACTTCAATGGAGATACAGAAGAAACAGCTGACAAAGGGAATGCCTCCACTTTTGCTATTCAAGAAATTCTAGATAGGCAGCCAGAGGAACTTGGTGAAGACAAAACTTACTAACATAAGGAGAGTGACTGTGGTGAGAAGGATGAAGATATCATGGAGGAAAGTGACATTGGGGAAAAATCTTCACAATAAAAGATCCCTTAGTAAAAAACTGAAAGCACAAAACAATAAAATGTTGAAAGCTAATTCAAACTTAGAAGTACTACTATTTGCAAAGGCAGAGAAAAGATACTCTATCATAAGTTTCACCAATGAGAAGAAGGAAAAGTAATGTTTAAACTATTCTGGTTAAGTGTTTACAAAGAAATAAAACACATTAGTTATCAGTATTTCTAATATTTTAAATTACCAAGACAATTTATTAGAGAAGAATAGTTTTTTCAAAACATAATGCTGGGACAACTGAATATCCACATGAAAAGAATATAGTTGAACCTCTAGAATCTCATACACAAGAACTGATTCAAAATGGATCAAAGACCTGAATCTAAGAGGAAAAACTATAACACTTCTGGGAAAAAACATAGGTGTAATCTGTGTAAATGTGGAACTTTGGATTAGGCAATGGTTTCTTAAACACCTAAACCACAAGCAACCAGGAAAAAAAATAGACTTATCAGACTTCATCAAAATTAAAAATTTGTACCAAAGGATACCATCAAAATAGTGAAAGACAACTCACAGAATGGGAGAGAATATTTCTAAACCATCTATCTGATAAGGGTGTGGTAACAGAACAGATAAAAAACTTACAATTCAACAATGAAACAACAAATAACCCTATTAAGAACTGGGCAAGGAAGTTGAAATTTTTTCAAAGAACATACATAAATGGCCAATAAGCACATGAAAAGATGCTCATCATTAGCCATCAGGGAAATGCAAAGGAAGCCCATAATGAGACAGCACTTCAAACCCATTAGAATGGCTGTAATAAAAAAAAATGGAAAAGAACAAGTTTGGGAGCCCTCACACATTGCCAATGGGATTGTAAAATGGCGCAGCCATTTGGGAAAACAGTTTGGCAATTCCTCAAATGTACAGAATTATTGGGTCATGTGGTAACTAAGCACATCCCAAAAGAAATTTAAATGTTTTTCTTTTTACAAAAAGCTGTACATCAATGTTCACAGTAGCATTAGTCGTAATAGCTAAAAAGTGTGAACAATCCAAATGTTTTTTGACTGATAGATAAAATGTGGTAAATCCAAACAAAATATTATTTAGCCATGACAAGGAATAAAGTGCCGATATGTGCTATAACATGCATGTATCCTGAAAATATGATGTTAAATAAGCCAGATACAATGGGCCACAATTATTCCACTTACATTAAGTATCTAGAAAAGGCATGTTCATAGTAGACAGAACGTACATTAGTGGTTGCCAGGGGTACTGCAGTTGGGGAGATAGTTACTTTAAGTGTATGGGGTTTCTTTTGGGGGTGATGAAAATATCCTGGAATTAGAGAGTGGTGATGGCTGAACAACCGTGTAAATATAATGAAGTCAGGGTAAATTTTATGATATGTGAATTATATCTGAATAGAAAAGAGAAAAAAATTATTATTTTTTAAAAATACTCCCCTGGGTCATGTGATAAGCCTAGGATTGAAAAAAAGAGGCAGTGTACTTAATAAATATTAGTGTTACAAGTTTTTTTTTTTCTCTGTAAACTTGACAGTTTTTAACATTCTGACAAAAAATTTAATGGTCACAGATCATAATTTTTCCCATTGATTATTGAGATCACTTTGCATGGTTTCAGCTTGAATATCTACTTTTACAGTCCCAAACTATCAGGCAAATTGAATACTACATGCATAGTGTCAGGAAATCTCATCTGAAACATCTTTTAAAGGAATGTAAAGATAAGTTAAGGATAATGTGACAGCCTACCTGTAATTCCTCTGCTGTGGAAACATCCAGTCCCGTTAGATCTTGTATTCTCATATTAATTCGAGACACCACAGGGTTTTCATAGCCAGAGAGCCAGGCGCTAAGAACAAAAAAAATTAGTGTTACTGACAATGTTTCAATACATTGACCAGTATCAGTCATTGAAAAGGCCACAATATATGGAACAGTAAACCTTTATATATAAACATTTCGTTAGTTTGCTTGTTTGATATGATTTTTACTAATGAATGTTATAACTTTTATATTACATATTACACATATATATAAAAATATTTTATATTACATAAAAGTGTTATATATAAAACATTTAAAAGCTATTACATTCTACAGTTAGAGGTTGGGAAGGAAAAGTATAATCTTATTTATTTATGGAAAAGTATAATCTTATTTATTATAGAGTTTCTATGATATCAGTTGGATTAATATAAGAAGGCTATATAGGACTATCTACACTGAGAATTTTTAATTCTTGGAAAAATACATACTGAACTGAAAACAATTGTTCCCTCTAGGAAACGTATAGGAAATGACTGTAGTGGGGGTTATGAAGCTAAAAATCAGGGTTTTTAGCCTAACTTATATTATGCTAATATTTTATAAGGAAAAAAATTCATGTATTACTTACATATAAATTTTAAAAATAAACTTGAAAAATTTTTTAAATAAAATTTTAAAACACACCTAAGTAGGATGGCTATAATAAAAAAGATGGACAATGGCAAGTGTTGGTGAGGATGTGAAGAAACTGGAACCCTCATACATTGCTGGTAGGAATGTAAAATGATGCAGCCACTTTGGAAACAGTTAAGCAGTTACTCTTTAAAAAGTTACCATATGAGCCAGCAATTCCACTCCTAGGTACACCAAAGAAAAATTGAAACTTACGTTTACACAAAAACTTGTACACAAATGTTCATAGCAAGTATTACTGATAATGGTCAAAAAAGTGGAAATAATCCAAATGTTCATCAACTGAGGAATCAATACATAAAATGTGAGATAATTGTATGATGGATTATTCTGTCATGAAAAGGAATGAATTACTGATACATGCCACAACATGGATGAACCCTGAAAACATGTTTAGTAAGATAAGACAGACGCAAAAAGGGCACACACCATGATTCCACTTATACGAAATATCCAGGATAGGCAAATGAAGAGATACAAGTAGACTAGCTGTTGCCAGGGGGAGATGGGAATGGGCAGTGATTCCTAATGGGCACAGGATTTCATTTTGGGGTAATGAAAATGTTCTGTAATTAGGTGATGGTGATGACTGCACAAATAAAAAAACTAAAACCCAGTGATTTGTATACTTTAAAGAGTGAATTTTATGGTGTAAGAACTATAGCTCAATAAGAAAAAGCATACCAAAATTCAGCTATCTCCTTTATATACTTTTCCTGCTCTGTCAGCCTTTTTCTTTCTTCACTTCTCTTCTCACCAAGCTTTGATTCCATGAACCATCATCTCAACAACATTCTTGCTAAAAGCCTAACTTCAACTGTCTGGCAGAAACACAATGAAATGAATTTTTTTTCTCTGAGCTTATACCCCTGTCATCAAACCCTTCTGGATAAAGCCTTAAAATAGGGCATGTAAGTTCTGTTAAAAATTCATGAACGCCAACTTGAAATGGGCCCTTACTCTTACTTCCTCCTCTACTCTGCACCCCAATCCACCTCAGCCCCCCCCTTCACTTGGTAATATTTCCCTACTTCACAGAGAAAATAGAAACCTCACTATCTACTTACATTTGCATCTATTCCTTGTAATTCACTCTAGTTCTTTCATTCCAGTTTCAAAAGATTTCTCTCCATTAACTTAAGGTGGTTAATCCTCTGCCCTAGATTCTATTACCTCCTGCCATTTTAGGAACCATAAAATACTGATTAGCTCTTTTTCACTTCCCTTCTCAATAATTCCTCCCAGATAAGCCTTTAACTGGGCTTAAATCTCTCCACATGAACAAATAGATTAAAAATTCTTTGCTTCAACTGTCTCCAACTACCAACCCTTTTTTCCTCCAAGTCAGCTTTTTCAGACTCATTTCACAATCCAATCTAGCTTTAGTCCCTTATCACACCATCAAAACTGCACTTGCTAATATAATCCATAACCGTACTATGCTAAACCAAAGGAGACTTTCCAGCTCTCAGTGTCCTTGCTCTTTTAGTAACATTTCAATGCTCATCTTTCCTGAAACTCTCCTCACTCACCCATCCTCCAGCTAATCCTTTAGTTTCTCTGGCTGCTCTTAGTCTCCCTTGCAGCCTCTACTAAATTCTGCTTCTCTCCATGTGCCCCAGCAAAACATCTTCAACATGTTCCCTCTAGCCCTAAGGCTAGTGCACATGCTCTTCTCAAGTCCAGAATATTCTTTTCACTTCACAAGGTTATTGGATCATCACTTTAACATCTTCAGAGAAGCCTTCTACTCACCAGGTTGAAGTTTTTTGTTTTTGGAAGAGGAGGAGGAGGGATGAGGAAGGAGGAGGTAATTTATAATCACCACAACATGAAATTGACATCACATGCTATTAGAATTGAACCAGGATAAAGATTAAAAATTTAAATTTCTCAGTGCACTTCAGAGGAAAATATATTAGCATTCTTCTTAATCTGATGGACTAGTTACCATAAAAGCATTTTTTTAATAGTAATATATTTTCAGACTGCTAAGAAATTCTCAGAAAGTCAACTATAAAATCTATAATGATCACAGCTGACAGGATTAGGACTGTTTTGTGAAGCATTAAGAATCACATCACTTCTTTTAGCCATCAAATCAATGCACCTTTTTCACTGATAAGGCAGTTGTTTTGCTGTGGGTGCCACAATGATTAGCAAGTTTCTTCAGTAACATACATTCTACATTGTTCAAGACTGAAGTGAGTTTTCTTTCTAATTTTGCCCTCTTTTGGAGCACAGTATCTTTTCCTTTGTACAGAGCTAAGTAAATATTGTGAAATGCAGCTGTTGTAATCTTCTAAATTTAATTTCTTCACAATAAAAAGGGGACATTTTTAGAAATAAGCCTTTGTTAATACTCCCATTTTTGAAGTAGCAAGGCTTCTGAATAACTGCTCAAAACTAACTATTTTGGTACATGACCTGATACATGACACACTTGCTCTGTATTTTAGTAATTTTTTCTATCAGCTACAATTTGCCCTCAATAAGGATTAGTGTTGTAGTTCAACAATTTTTTACATATATTTTAAAATAAATTTTCATTTCACTGAACTTTTTTTCACTCATGTACCTGTGGAAGGTAATTTGCACACACATATATGCATACATATGTGTGTGAACATGAATTTTTTAAGTTACTTATACCATTAAAATAAAACTAGTTTCCAAAACTGGACAGCTACATGTAAGAGAATGAAACTGGATTACTGTCTAACTCCATACACAAAAGTAAACTTGAAATGGATCAAAGACCTGAATGTAAGTCATGAAACCATAAAACTCTTAGAAGAAAACATAGATAAAAATCTCTTGAATATAAACATGAGCAACTTTTTCCTGAACATATGTCCTTGGGCAAGGGAAAAGCAAAAATGAACAAATGGGACTACATCAAACTAAAATGTGTCTGTACAGCAAAGGACACCATCAGCAAAATAAAAAGGCGGCCTACAGTATGGGACAATATATTCGTAAATGATATGTTTCATAAGGGGTTAACATCCAAAATATATAAAGAGCTCACATGCCTCAACACCCAAAAAGCAAATAACCAGATTAAAAAATGGGCAGAGGATCTGAACAGACACTTCTCCAAAGAAGAAATTCAGATGGCCAACAGGCACATGAAAAGATGTTCCACATCACTAATCATCAGGGAAATGCAAATTAAAACCACAGTGAGGTATCACCTCACACTAGTTAGGATAGCCAGCACCCAAAGACAAGCAACAACAAATGCTGGGGAGGATGCAGAGAAAGGGGAACTCTCCTACACTGTTGGTGGGAATGTAAATTAATTAGTTCAACCATTGTGGAAAGCAATATGGGGTTCCTCAAAAGACTAAAAATAGAAATACCATTTGACCCAGGAATTCCACTCCTAGGAATTTACCTGAAGAAAACAAGATCCCTGATTCAAAAAGACATATGCCCCCCTATGTTTATCGCAGCACTTTTTACAACAGCCAAGAAATGGAAGCAACCTAAGTGTCCATCAGTAGATGAATGGATAAAGATGTGGTACATATACACAATGGAATATTATTCAGCCATAAGAAGAAAACAAATCCTACCATTTGCAACAACATGGATTGAGCTAGAGGGTATTATGCTCAGTGAAATAAGCCAAGTGGAGAAAGGTAAGTACCAGATGATTTCACTCATTTGTGGAGTATAACAACAAGGCAAAAACTGAAGGAACAAAACAGCAGCAGACTCACAGAACCCAAGAAGGGACAAGCAGTTACCAAAGAGAAAAGGGGTGGGGAGGGTGGGCAGGGAGGAAGGGAGAAGAGGATTAAGGGGTATTATGATTAGCACACATAATGTAAGGAGTTCGTGGGGAAGGCAGTATAGCACAGAGAAGACAAGTAGTGACTCTATAGCATCTTACTACACTGATGGACAGTGACTGTAATGGTGTATGTGGGGGTGGGGACTTGATAATAGCGGTGAATGTAGTAACCACAATATTCCTCATGTGAAACCTTCATAAGAATGTATATCAATGATACCTTAACAAGAAATAAAAATAAATAAAAATTCGTCTACAAGGACAACTAGGAAGAACAATTTGTCTTACATAATTATAGAAAACCTCTTCTAGATTGAGAACAGCAACTACAGTTAGTTGAAGGATTTGATGAGGCTATCTAGTCTTTTCTTCATCTGTTAATCTTACATTGCCATGGCTCACTACCACAGCTCCAGGCATGTCCGCTTCCACAAGAGCACTAGTGTCCAGGATAACGTCTGTCAAAACATTACTGCTGGATGTCGTTGACTGAGTACCCAAACCTGCTTGCAATCTTTCAGTAACTCTCACTCTCCACTCTGCACAATCTTGGTATCAAAGTAACTATCAACAATCTTAAGAATATA